AGCAAAGTGTAAAAAAAAAAAATCCCTGATCACCCCCCCACATAATAGTACAATGTTACTATGGTAACATTGTACTATTCTGATAAAAGTATTTTTTTTTTTAAAAATAACACAAATGTAAAAAAAAAACAAAACAAAACCATATTGAGAATTTAAAAAAAAAATTGTAAGAGTTTTTTTTTATTAACTACTTGCCAACCACTTACCCGTATTTTGCGGGCAAGCAGCAGCTCTTGGCAAAACGTTGTAATCATGCGTCGCTTCCCATTTTGGGGTGTAAACACACCTGCACCCCCCACCCGTCAGTCCAGGGAGAGAAGAGAGAACACAGCACCAAGTAAAAGCACCACTGCATTTTACACACACACACACACACGTTAGATTAGCACATTTAACCCTTTGGTCATCAACGTTAATCCTTTGATCACCCCGTCACCCAGCCAGTGCCATTAGTACAGTGTCAGTATTTACTGTGTAGGAAATAAGTATTCGATCCCCTGCTTATTTTGAATGTTTGCACAGTCACAAAAAAATGATCAGTCTAAAAATCAAATGGTAGGTGTATTGTTGTGCGTATAAATTGCCTTGGCCCACAATCAATTGATACAAATCGTCCGTGAAAAACAGAGGGGCTAAACGTTAGTGATGACAGCAAACGGGGCCGATCCTGCTAACTCTGCATTTTTTGGAAAGCAGACACTCCAATGTATTTGCTAAGAAGCATGGTGAGTGTTTTGCAGATCTCATTTGTTGCCACATTTTTTTCGAAAATAAAGAAATTAATTTTTTTTCTTTCTTTTATTTTTTCAAAACCCTGTGACAAAAATGATATCTGTAAAATACTCACCATGCCTCTTATCAAATTCCTTGGGGTGTCTACTTTCCAAAAAGGGGTCATTTAGGGGGTTGTACTATCCTGGCATTTTAGAGCCTCTGAAACTGTGATAGGTAGTGAGGAAGTGATATGAGGAAATATGCCCTTTGAAAGCCTGGAGTTGGTCAGTGGATTTTGGTGGCTTGTATGCAGCTAGGCTGCCAAAAAGTCTCTCACATGTGGTATCCCCATACTCGTGAGAAGTAGAAGAATGTGTTTTGTGGTGTTATTCCACATATACCCATGGCATGCATGAGCAATATATCATTAAAGTGTCAACTTTGTGTACAAAAAAAAAAATTGTCATATTCAAAAAATTTGTGGCAAAAAATAAAATGTTCCATGGACTCAACATGCCTCTCTGCAAAATCCTTGGGGTGTCTACTTTCCAAAAGGGGTCATTTTCTTTTAGGGGGGGGTTGTACTGCCCTGGCATTTTAGCACTTCAGGAAATGTGATAGGCAGTCAGAAAGTAAATGCTACGTAAATTCATGTATTATAGTTTGTAGATGCTATAACTTTCACACAAACCAATTAATATACACATATTGGGATTTTTTTTACCAAGACATGTAGCAGAGTACATTTTAGCCTATAATTATGACTAACTTTGAGTTTATTGGATATATTTTATAACCAAAAGTGAAAAAATATCATTTTTTTCAAAATTTTCAGGCTTTTTTTTGTTTATAGCGCAAAAAATAAAAACAGAGGTGATCAAAATACCACCAAAATAAAGCTCTATTTGTGTGAAAAAAGGACATAAATTTAGTGTGGGTACAGCTTTGCACGACCGGTCAATTGCCAGTTGAAATAGCGCAGTGCCGTACAGCAAAAAATGGCCTGGTCATGAAGGGGGGGTATATCCTCAGGAGGGCAAGTGGTTTATAAGTTTGCCTTCTCTTTGTCCCCATCACCCACTCTAGATTATTTTGTAAATGGCCTACATGCTTTTTACTATTAATATATTTGAAGAATGTTTGGGGGTTGGTCCTGCTATCTTTTGCAATCTGTCGCTCATTTTCCATTTTTGGGGCCTTTATTTCCTTTTTGCATATTCTGTTATATTCTTTGTAATATTTAAACGATGATAGCATTCCTTCATTTTTATATTTAATAAGGGCTCTTTTCTTATTATCTGTAGCTTTTTTAACTTTGGCCGTAAGCCACATAGGTTTGATTTTTAGCCTTTTAAACTTGTTGCCCATGGAAATATATTTTGCAGTGTGTTCACATACAGTCTTTTTGAAGAACTCCCATTTCTGTGTTGTGTTCATTGATGCCAATATTCCCTTCCAATCTAAGTCTTGGAGAGCAGCTTTCAGTCTTGGAAAATTAGCTCTTTTAAAATTGAGCATTTTTATTTTTCCCGTATGTGCTTGCTGTATACAGCTAATAATATATGAAATCATGTTATGGTCACTGTTACCCAGATGTTCTTTTATATGGACATTCGTAATAAGCTCTGCATGGTTTGAGATTACCAGCTCCAGCAGAGCATAATTCCTAGTTGGGGCCTCTATGAACTGTACCATAAAATTGCCTTGTAGTAGGTTTAAAAATGTTTGCCCTTTGAGTGTTCCTGCAGTACCATTACTCCAGTCAATTTCCGGGTAGTTAAAATCCCCCATTATTATCACTGTCCCAGCCCTTGCAATCTGTGCAAGGAGCTGAGTCTCCCCCTCTTCATTAACACTGGGAGGCCTATAACAAACTCCAATGATTACCTTTTGTATGCAACCCAATGTGCAGTTTCCACCCATAATGCTTCAGCCTCATCACACTCTCCATCAACTAGGTCCTCTTTCACACTCGCTCTGAGATCACATAGAGACAGGCACCACCTCCTTTCCTATTTACCCCGTCTCTCCGAAAGAGAACATAGCCAGGAATAATAATGGCCCAGTCATGTGAAGAATAAAGCCAAGATTCAGCAATACCAATTAAATCATCGTTCTGTTCATGCATCAAAGCTTCCAACTCACCTACTTTGTTTGGCAGACTTCTAGCATTGGTGAACAAACACTTTAATCCATTGACATCTTGTGCACACGTATTTTACATGTTTTTAATTTTCATACAAATGGTACCAATTCCACTGGTTGTTTGTGACATGGGAACCTTCTTATCATCTGCCATAGCCCTCACCCCATCTTTCCCCATTCCACCCACCAATAAGTATTGACCCCTGTCTGATCTGTCTACCCCCGTTATAATTTAATTCTCCCTCCCCCCTCGATCCTAGTTTAAATACTCCTCCAGCCTTCCTATAAACCTCTCTACCAGCACAGCCTGACCCCCTTTCATTTAGGTGCAGACCATCTCTTGCATATAGGTTGCACCCCATTGAAAAGTCAGCCCAGTGCTCTAGAAACCCAAATCCTTCCCTCTTACACCAGGTCTTTAGCCATGCATTGAGTTCTCTAATCTCCCCCTGTCCTTCCTGAGTTGCTGAGAATATCTCCTTGGAGGTTCTTCCCTTCAATTTGCAGCCTAGTTCTTTAAATTGATTCTTAAGGAGCCTCCACCTTCCATGTATTCTGTCATTGGTTCCAACATGGACCAAGACAGCTGGGTCATGCCCAGCCCCTCCCAGTAATTTATCAACCCAGTCCACAACATGCCGAACCCTGGCACCAGGGAGACAGTAAACCATTTGGTTGAGGTGATCCTGGCGACATATTATTCTATCAGTCCTTCTGATTATAGAATCCCCTACTACCACCAGTTGTCTAGGCCTTCCTGTACTACCCTCACAACCCCTCCCAGATGGTCTGTCCTCCCGGCTGTTAGGGATAGCAGTGACATCCAGGGCTGCCACCCCCACATCTTCACCCAACTTGGCAAATCAGTTTGGGTGCACAAACCCAGGGCCAGCCTTCCTTTTCTGTGAGCCCCTACCACTCCCTCTTGTTACAGTAACCCATCTTCCTACCTGATAATCCTGACTAGCCCCTCCACTCTCCACATCAATCCCATTAGCTACCTGCTCAGAGAGCAGAGGATCCCTTTCAAGTTTGTTGGTTCTGCCCAGTGTTGCAACTTTCTCCTCCAGATCTCTAACGCGACCTTCCAGAAGGGCAACCCGATCACATCTGTCACAGCGGTATCCATCCTGGAGCTGTTGCTCCATTGCTGCATACATGCGGCACACTGTGCACTGCACAAAACCTTCAACCCTGCTAGCACACATATCTCAGTTACAATATTAATAAGAAATATCAGTTGTCACTTACAGGTTAGTAGACTCCTGTATAATCTCCTGTTTTCCACTCCATTTTTTTTAACTCCACTTATCAAATGTTCACTTAATCAAAAGGTCCAGCAAGCAAAATACAGGCAAGCTCAAGAATGAGCAAGCTCAGAGTGAGCTACAGCAAGTTATATAGTAAACTGTAGAACTTGTGACTAATTAACCCCTCCCACAATTAGCAGACTGAAGGAAGGCAAGGAAAGGAAGAGAAAAAAATGCTATTTAAAAAGTGACAGAAAAAGTTATTTAAAGTAAAAGCTTTTAGCAAGACCCAAAGAAGAAAATAAAAAAACTACAAGCACCAGCAATCAAAAGTAAAAATTTCACTCTCCACTCAAATTTCCCACTCTTTTTAGCTATCAGCCAGCAAAAAATGCCACACTACACTTGGCACAATGCAATCAGGCAAGCACTGTTCTCCTGGCAACCACCAAACCCAGACACATTCATCATATTTACCAGAGAAGTGTGATTCGTCACTCCATAGAACACATCTCCACTGCTCTAGAGCCCAGTGGTGGTGTGCTTTACACCACTGCATCTGAAGCCTTGCATTGCACTTGGTGATGTAAGGCTTGGATGCAGCTGCTCGGCCATAGAAACCCATTCCATGAAGCTCTCTACGCACTGTTGTGCTAATCTGAAGGCCACACAAAGTTTGGAGGTCTTTAGCTATTGATTCGGCAGACAATTGGCGACTTCTGCACACACTGCGCTTCAGCATATGCTAACCCCGCTCTGTCATTTTATATGGCCTACCAGTTCGTAGCTGAGTTGCTGTTGTTCCCAGTTGCATCAACTTTATTATAATACCACTAATAGTTGACCGTGGAATATTTAGTAGCAAGGAAATTTCACTGATGGACTTATTACACAGGTGACAACCTATCAAGGTACCACACTTGAACTCACTGAGCTCCTGAGAGCAACCCATTCTTTCACAAATGTTTGTAGAAGCAGTCTGCATGCCTAGGTGCTTGATTTTATACACCTGTGGCCATGGAGGTGATTGCAACACCTGAATCCAATGATTAGGAGGAGTGTCCCAATACTTTTGGCAATATAGTGTATTTATGAAGACCAACACCACTTGTTTACGTCCAAGTCAATGCTCACCAAACATTTGCTTAGAAACATGGGCTGTGTGCTTACATTAAATGGCTAGCAGGCTGCCGTAATGCTGTATTAGAAAAAGAGCTAAGATTTCAGAGCCTTTGTTGTGGACATTGAAGATGGATTTCTCCACAATGCTTATAGCTACTGTACAAATGTGCTAAGGACATATTTAACCACCTTCCGCCCGCCACAATGACAGGCGCAAGGTGGTTCTCTCATTCTGATAGGACGTCATATGACGATCGCTGGTGCGCTGTGTCCCTCGGACACAGCGGATCACAGAAAGAGCCGAGGATGTCGGCTTGGTCATGTGATCAGCTGTGTCCAATCACAGCTAATCACATGTAAACACGGAAATGCCGGTTATCAGCATTTCTCTCCTCTCGAGCTGTCACGCTGACAGCTCGATAAAAGAGAGGAGAGCCAGTAATCGGCTTTCCGCGGAGGGGACATGTGCACTGATCATCAGGGCACTGATGATCAGTGTGCCCTGATGATCAGTGTGGCCCCAGAAGTGCCACCTGTCAGTGTCCATCAGTGCCAGCAGTCAGTGCTTATCAGTGACAGTGCCCATCAGTGCCATATCAGTGCATACCAGTGCACATCAATGCCACATATCAGTGCCCATCTGAGCTGCCTTTTGATGTCACCCATCAGTGCCAGTCAGTGCCACCTATCAATGCCAATCAGTGCTGCCAATCAGTGCCGCCTATCAGTGCCGGTCAGTCGCCTATCAGTGTGCATTAGTGCCGCCTATCAGTGCCAGTCAGTGCCATCTATCAGTGCCATATATCAGTGTCATGTATCAGTGCTGCCTTTCAGTGCCCATCAGTGCAACCTACCAGTGCCTCCTCATCAGTGCCCATCAGTGGCACCTATCAGTGTCCATCAGTGCAGCCTATCAGTGCCCATCACTGCAGCCTCATTATCGCACATCAGTGAAGGAGAAAAAATCACTTATTTACAAAATTGTATAACAAAAACAAAAAAAAAAAAATTTTTTTTGTTTAATTTTCAGTGGTTTTTGGTTTAAGAAAAAATTAAAATCCCAGAGGTGATTAAATACCACCAAAAGAAAGCTCTCTGTCTAAAAAAAATGCTAAAAATTTCATATGGGTACAGTGTTGCATGACCGTGCAATTCTCATTCAAAGTGTGACAACGCTGAAAGCTGGAAATTGGCCTGGGCAGGAAGGGGGTATAAGTGTCCTGTAGGCTAGTGGTTAAAGTGTTTTTACTGCTTATTCAGAATATGTACTGTAAATGCTGTAATGTGCATGGTTTGAGCACAGGTGCAAATTACATTTGCATTTACACCCTGCATATCTAGATGAGTGTCAAGATAAATGCATAGGGAATGCAGGCTGTCTCCTGTACCTGAAATCACCTAATGTTTATATCTGTACCCCTAAATATACTACGAGGAGCCCTCCTAAAATTTCCCAAGAAGTCCCCACACTGAAATGGAGGATGCAGTTTCCTTACAACAAGAGAAACATTCAAACACTATTCCAGGAGTATCTTCAAAAAAAAAAAAAAAAAAAGACAGGATGCTGCAGGATATGTGAGTAAAACCAAAAGCCATTTTGATAGTAGTGTAACAATGTACAAAAACATGCATATAAACATGAATAAATATTGATACATAAAATGTATCCTTGATACATTTTTGGTGCACTTGTTCAGACAAATATTATTGACCTGATACATTGAAATGCTGATATTGAAAGTTAGTGTTCTTTACAGCTGCAGCTTGATTGCCTGAAGTAGCTCAGTTAAAATAAAAGCTGGAACTAGGTGATGCTCAAAGCTCAAAGTGTATGGATCATGGCTCTGAGTGCATGTGAAACCTCTGAGCATGCTGAGCTGAGTTCACAATGCCCAAGGTATATACTGACTATTTATGTCTAAAAGGGCAAAGAACAACTGTGTAAAAAGAAAAAAAAAAAAAAGGAGTATAGGGATTAAAGGAAACCTACAATCAGAGTAGTTTAAGACAGTGGTAGGCCCCACCTCTATCCTATCTTTTATCACAACAGTAAAAAGCATACTAATACTGAATAAAAAGACAGCAAGGGAAATATATGCCATCTTTGTAGAACAACAGGTCCCTGTATGCATACTGGGACTTTTAGTTGTACATAGGTTCATCTTTTCTTCATTAAATTATGTTATGGCAAGAGGTCATTCAAAGCAATGGTTTATTTCATACAGTGGTGATTCCGTGTTTTTTGTGCAGGTAATGGTTGTCCACAATTATTACAAAGTAAAAGAGAAAACTTGTGATCTTCTTATGGACATGTATTAATTTAGAGATTGTGATGAGTAGAATATCTCACAGTCTAGATAGAGGGAAGCCCAAGAACATAATGTAGCTCCTCTTTTTTTATAGGGAAAACCTTATCTCTGTGTACAGTCACTCCTTGACCAGACAAAAGAATCAGAATACCCTTTGCTGCTGTCCTATCTGAATGTTATGAACAGACACTGCCATTTAAGCCTAGTACACACAATGAGAAAATCGGATGAAAAATAGCGCTTTTGGAGCGATCTTCCAATAATATGATCATTAGTATATAGTTTTCGAGAGCCAACCATGACAATTCATTTGAAAATATCCTAAGGGACAAGAACAAAAAATTTTCTCAAAAGGAAAACACACCGAATGATTTCCGTTTAATCAGTACAGTATTCGTTCATAAAAAAAATCAAGTGACCAAGACTGCGCATGCTCAGATATGAAAGAATACATTATAATACATTACATTACTTCTGAAGTTGTATTCTGTCATAAGATACTTTTAGTAAGATCTTCATTTTCAATATGAGACTAGCATGCAAAAAAAAAAAAAGAATGATCATTCATCCAATATTCTCATTGTGTGTGCGAGGCTTTACAGTACTGTTTGTAGTACAAAAACAATGTGGTTAATACAAACACAATAGTGGATTAAAATGTTTGTACACCAATGCCAGATGTCTGCCAAGCAAAATTGGAGAATTAAATGTTTTGGTGCATAAAGAGAACTATTATTTAATTGGTATTTCTTAGTCATGGCTTCATGATTGGGATATGATTTTTCCTGGCTATGCACTCTTTTGGAGAGACTTGGTAAAATTAACAGGTGGCAGGATCTGACACTATGGAAGAAGTGATCCTAAAATGAATGTGAAAGAGAATCTGAGAATGTGAGAGTGCCGAAGCATTATGAGTGAAGCTGTGTTTGGGCGTGTGTACCTCAAAGGGCAGATAGAAGAGCTGCAAGCACTAGGACAGTGGTAATATTGGGAAATTTTAACCTCCCTGAAAATTCATTGAGTAATGGCAATGCTGGAACTGTAAAAGGGTGTACAATTTTAAACATATTTTATGATAATTTTATGACAGTTTATAGAAGCCCTACCTGGAAATGATGCTATGCTGGACCTGTTAATCTCAAACATTGTGGAATTTATTACAAATAACGATATAAAAGAACATCTAGACAGCAGTTGCCATATCATGGTTTCATTTATTTAAGTTATAAACAACAAACACATTCTGGAAAGATATAAAAACAGTTAATTTTAAACAAACCAATTTTCTGAGGCTGAGGGCTCCACTCTAAGATTTAGACTGGGAGGAAATATTTGTGAATAAATCAAAGAGTGCATTTGATTTTAGTTTAAAATAATGATGTCCGTGATAAAAAAAATATTATATAAAAGTCCATCCACCATCACAAAGCAATTAAACAGTTTTGAAATCTTGTATAAATCAAACACCGTGCAAAGAAAATCCACCACTGAATGAAATGGGTACACTCACCAGAGCTCCATGCTGACCAGATTATAAGTCAAAAATAGCGTTTGCTCTGGTAGCAATGATCAGCAGAAGTAATCCAAACTGGGAGCAATATACTGCAAGCAGCCAATCAGCACAATATGGAATAGCCTTAACAGCAGGTAGTCATCACGTCTCCATACCATAGATCATGTTCGGAGAATCAAAAAAGGAAATCATGGTGCAGTACGTTTAAAACCAAAATGTTTTATTAAAACATCAGAAATGCACTCACAAACGGTGTCTAGCCGACACCAGCAATGACAGCCTCAAGAAAGCAGGGACGAGCCTCGCTCACCGCGATATCACAGCCGACAGTCTACGATGAGCATCCTGACGTCACATCCAAAAGAGGAGGAAATATTGCCATAAAAACACAGAACAGGATTTAGAATGTTACAAAGCACCTGTACAGAAGGCGATACGTTTAAAAGACTAAAAGTAAGACAAACCCCAATAATTATTTATCTACACTGCTCAATAAAATTAAAGGAACACTTTGAAAACACATCAGATCTCAATGGGGAAAAATATCATGCTGAATATCTATACTGATATGAACAGGATAATGTGTTAAAAACGTAAGGATGCCCCATTGTTTGATGGAAATGAAAATGATCAACCTACAGGGGACTGAATTCAAAGACACCCCGAAAATCAAAGTGAAAAATGATGCAGCAGGCTAGTCCATTTTGCTGAAATTTAATTGCAGCAACTCAAAATGGTACTCAGTAGTTTGTATGCCCCCCCACGTGCTTGTATGCATGCCTGACAATGTCGGGGTATGCTCCTAATGAGACAATAGGTGGTATACTGGGGTATTTCCTCCCAGATCTGAACCAGGGCATCACTGAGCTTATGGACAGCCTGAGGTGCAACCTGGCAGCGTCGGATGGAACGAAATATTCAATGGTATCAATTCCTTCACCCTCCAGGAATTGCCTGCATACTCTCTCCTCATGAGGTTGGACATTGTCGTGCCACAGGAGGAACCCAGGACCTACTGCACCAACGTAGGGTCTGACAATGGGTCCAAGGATTTCATCCCGATACCTAATGGCAGTCAGGGTACCATTGTCTAGCCTGTAGAGATCTGTGTGTCCCTCCATGGATATGCTCCCCCAGACCATCACTGACCCACCACCAAAATGGTCATGCTGAATGATGTTACACGCAGCAGAATATTCTCCACAGCTTCTCCAGATCCTTTCACGTCTGTCATGTGCTCAAGGTGAACCTGCTCTCATCTGTGAAAAGCACAGGGCTCCAGTGGTGGACCTGCCAATTCCGGTGTTCAATGACAAATGCCACTCGAGCTCTTTGGTGCCAGGCAGTGAGCATAGGGCCCACTTCTTCTGGTGAAGCCATTCCTTTGTTGATTTGGATGTATACTTTGGGTCAGTGTCATGTTCAGCTTTCTAGCAGAAGCCTGAAAGGTTTGTGTCAGCATTGACTGATATTTGGAACTGTTCATAATTCCCTCTACCTTGACTAAGACCCCAGTTCCAGCCCCAAAGCATGATGCTGCCACTACCATGCTTCATTGTGGGTATGGTGTTTTTTTGGTGTTTTGGTGATGTGCAGTGTTGTTCTTGCACCAACTATATCTTTTGGAGTTATGGCCAAAAGTTCAACCTCGGTTTCATCAGACCATATCAGACCATAACACATTTTCCCACATGCTTTTGGGAGACTTCAGATGTGTTGTTTTGGCAAAATTTAGCTGGGCTTGGATGTTTTTCTTCGTAAAGAAAAGGCTTTCGTCTTGCCACTCTACCCATAGCCCAGACATATGAAGAATACGGGAGATTGTTGTCACATGTGTTGCAATGCACATGATTCACATAGCAGTACTTACCAGATATTCCTGCAGCTCCTTTAATGTTGCTGTAGGTCTCTTGCAACCTTCCCAGACCA